AGGACAATTTGCAAAAAGGAAGAAGACTTCACTTTGGTTCACAGTCTCTCTGCTGGTAGTGTCTGTTTTCATACTGACCGTAGGTCTGGCAGCTACCACAAGAACAGAAAATGTTACCGTGGGAGGCTACTACCCAGGCATCGTTGTGAGTAAAGAAACCTATTTTAAATTATTAGGTACATTCAGAGAAGTTATTTTCAGCTAGATATGGGAAGTTCTGATTGATTAAAAGAAACCCAACCCCCAAACAAAAACAAGAAAACCCAACCCCAAACAGGCCTGTTGGATTTCACGGGAGAGACCTGTGACTTTGTTTTGGTCTTTCTAGTGTGTGTGGTAAGTTAGGGAGGTAAAGTCTGTTCTTTTGAAGGGCCAGAAGGGAGGCTTTTGGGGGCAGAAGAGGGGCAAGGCTGCAGTGCACGTCAGTATGCTGGGCACAGGGGCCTGTGTGAGAACCTGTGCTTGACTTCCCGCTGGTCTCTATTGGGTGTGTGAGTGACTGGACAGGAGGCACTGGATAGATTTAAACAACTTTCTAGAGGTTTACATTTTGATGGCAGGAAGATCCACTCTGCTTTCTTGTCCACGTGCCAGGAATTGCTCATGTCAGGGGGGTTGGAACTAGATGATCTTAAGGTCCTTTCCAAGCCTAACTATTCTATGATTCTATAATTCTGCTGGGTCCATCACAGGGAAAGCCCTGTGGATGAGCATGTGGAAGCTTCTCCCTGGAGTCTGCCTAACATCCTCTTGTGCAGTCTTGCTGCCAGTCCTCTTGTACGCGATCCTCTTCCAAAATCCTTAGTCTTGTTTTTGCCTTGGGAACTGGCCGTTTAAACATGTTCCTGCATTGGATGCAAGATTTGAATTGCATCGACTTCATCCTGTGTTGCCTCTGACTTCTGGTGAGAGGTAGCTCTGTCAGACTCTTGTCAGTTCAACCCCCATGGCCCATTCTGATCTCAGAACAAGGGATTGGTTGTATCCAAAAGCATGGAAACCCCTGGAGTCAAACCCCCCAACATTTTAAATACCTGGGCAGCGATGTGAAAAGGAGGGTAGGGGCAGCAAATTTAGAAAGGTCCATCTGCCTCATTTGGTCTCCCCAAGCTAGCCAAGAGGCAGAGGGTGCAAGGTGAAGAAAGAAATTTGTATAGAGTTAGGTGTCTGCTTAGGTATGTGACTTCACCACTACCAAGATGTGTTGTAAGGTACTGTTCTTTCTTGTTCTCTCTGGAATGAAATGCCTGGAGAAGACAGATACGTATCTTTTAATACTATGCATACTTTTTGCATTCCCATTAATAATTGGTGTGTTACAACTGTTCCTCTTGAGCAAGTCCTCTTCTATCTTAGTGTCATGTTAGAACTGTTCCTCCTAAGCAAGTTCTCTTATATCTTAGTGTCATGCTGAAAATAGGTCTTCCAGGAAGATAATTTTGGAATAATGATCTATAAGGAGTCATGTTTCAAAAATAGAACAAAAAGTAGTTCCAAGAATAAAACCTTAGAAGAATGAATTTTCCTTTCATTAAGCTAGAATAGATACCTTAATACTTATAAAGATCTCTTCTGTAATTTGAATTAAAATCTTTTAGAAGACTGTATTACCTGCATTTGTTCCATAGAAAGAAGTTTAATTTTTAAACTGTTGTCTTTAATAAGTGTAATAGGTAATAGACCCATGTGCACAAACCAGGCTATTTCAGCATTTGGCTTTTTTAAGAATAACAAAATGTCATTAATAGCCAGATAGAATAGCTAGAATTTATCAGGATGCTTTGAAAACAAAACCTTTTATTAATAATTCCCCTCCCCCCCCAAAAAAAAGATTGTCAAGGCTAAATAATTTTCATAAAAGTCAGAATTTATTTTGTGCACATGAGAGATTATTGAAGTAACTGAGAAAGGGTGATGGGTATTGTCAGTGTAAACTTCATTAATCCACTGAATACCACAAACGTTTAGCAGGAGTTAAAGATACTATGCAGACCTTGCATGCTATCTTGCCAAAAGCCTTGTCAGAGGTGTATGGCAGCACTGCTGCGTTCGTGCCTCATTGCATGTGGCCTCCGGTGCAGCACTGGCAGATGGACCATGGGATGTCCTCTCCTTCGCCAGTCAGCAGTCAGCCACCTCTTTCAGGATAAGCTTAGTAACCCTCAAAAGGTGCTTCTCTTTTCTGCTGACAGTAGGGGGAGCTTAGAAAACCAGTGTAGCACTGATTGCACACTTAGCTACCTGCAGCTGCGGGAGTGAATTCGACACTACATATTTAACTACTGGGCTCAAAGAAACGAAAGATTATGAGGTCAGGCAGTGTTAATTACGATTAAAAATAAGGTCTAGTTCTCATGGGATCCAGTAGCAAAATATTAACTTCAGAGGTGGTAGGTGAGATCTAAATCACCACCAACCTTAGGTAAAGGTTTTCTGCCTTAAAACCCATGCAGAATTAGGCTATACCTTGCAAAGCCCTACGGAGGTGAAGAAGACTATCCACTTGCATAGATTTACTTGCATCTAGAAGCATTTGCAGAGCAGAGCTTCAGGGCTAAATCCATAATATAATTTGGGCTTCTGCTTGGTTTCCACTGGCTTCAAGAATTGTTAGGTGCCTTAATTTCTTTGCACACATGCATGGTCACTTGCCATTTGTTTTGGAAAAAGCATTTTTATAAATACATCTTTGTAGTGCTAGGCGTTATCTGCATTTATGCATCTAAAGTCATTGAGCATAAAATACTTCTGTGTGTAGATGAGTTAGTGTAATGTTCCACTTTGGAAAGTGACTGCATTTAGCAGATTATTGCTTGATCATCTGTTTGCGTTTAGGAATGTCTTTGTGGAATGGATTGCAAAGCCAGACAGAATTGGAGCTTCTTCAGCCTCAATTCTGTATAAATATTGTTTATACTTTAATGTCACTTCTCTATCACTACTGCTTGTATTGTTTTCATTTGTTATTTTTATAATCTTTCAACCAGGAGTCTACAGGGTCCAATTGTCCCAGTCACCATACTGATCTGGACTCCCAGAGTTCCCAACCCAAATAGCCTGTTGTCTAAACAGACAGAAAAAGGAGTGCACACGACTCTAAATAATCTCAGCAAGGCCATGGCTTAACACTGTGATTTCTATGGTTCTGCTTCTTCTGATTTAATTGTTATTGTTCTGAATTTTCTCATTTTTTCTTCACATAGATAATATCACTCCGCTCTGTGTCCCCTGCGTCAGCCATAAATGGGGCTTTATGGATTGTTCCCATTGGGATGAGAAATGGGGCTTGGAACCAAGTATCATTTTGATGTAGTTATCTTAATTTACGAAGTTGCTGTCCCCTGAACAAAGTGTCCTTGCTCACAGTTCCAAGTCTCTCTTATTCATCTGTCAGCATGGATGCTCTTGTGCACCCTTTCAAATTCTCTGCTTTTAGTCCATGTGCCTCCCTTTCACATAAATCTTCCCAAAGCACTCAAGAGTAACTCCTTTCTCCACATTTGCTTTCTTGACAGGGAGTGATGGATTCCTGTTATGATACTGAGCAAGTAAAGTACTTCCATTGGATTTGCTTTCTGCTGTGGGCAGTTGTGCATAACAGAGAGGAGTTATGGGCATTGCTTAAGCCCTTGGCTGGGACATGTCGTCCTTAAAAGCTTAACCTGTGCTTGGAGGAAAGGCCCTGAACCATATTCAGAGATCTCATTCCAGAAAGGGGCTTAGGTTCCTTAGCAGAAACATCATGCCCCGTCCATAGGGTAGGTTGGGTGGGAGCTGAGGAGGTGACTGGGGGTTAGTTAGCCATAGCGAAGAGCAGAGCAAGGAGCGTGGAAGTGATGTGGGGTTGAGACTGAGGTGACTGCAGGGCAGCATGTGGCCAGGCAAGTCAATGGGAAGAGCTTGTTGACATCCGTGCTCCTGCTGCAGCTGTTTCTGAGTCTGTGGCCAGCCACATCTCAGGTGTGTGACACCAGGAAGACCCTTTTTCTCCAAGCCCACATAAGCCTAGTGGGAGTCCTGACTGCAGGAAGGTCTCATGAAAGGTTGGTCTCACCTGTTGCTGCTTTACCTCGTGTTAATCATTAGTCCAAGGAGTTTCTACCTCTTCAAGCTTTCATGGGCCCATCATAAGGAGGGGGCTTTTTCTGCCAGAATGATGTTGAAGCAGCACTGGTAGGAACAGGAAGGCCAGCTTACTCCAGCATTCCTTCCTTTCCTCTCTCCTGTGGCTGTTGGTGCTGCAGCTGTCCAATGTTGAAACTAACTGTACTGGTCCTTTTGCCATCTTAGTGAGGACTTTTTTTCTGGAATGTGTGATAGTGTTTAGTGATTAAACTCAAACAAAAACAAGGGTTTGAACTTGGGTTACCTGTGTGACAGAAACACATAATTTTCTTGAGGAAAACTGTCTGCAGTTGCCTAAAGCTTTGCAATTTTCCAAAATGATGATAAATGGGCTAAATATAAGTGTTCTTTTTTCTCACTTCACTTAATTTTTAAAAAGAGCTTAAAACTGTATGTGGCTATGGTTAATAGTAGCTAGGTTATAGAAGCGTATGTCTATACAGGCTTCTGTTTACTTCATAGAATAGTTGGGGTTGGAAAGGACCTTAAGATCATCCAGTTCCAACCCCCTTGTCATGGGCATGACAAGTTTTGCTCTGAAATATTAAAAAGCTGCAGTTCTAGTCATTCCCCGTTACATTATATGATTTATGTCCAGCAGTGACCTCCACCCATTCCCTTGACCCAGCCCGATTATCCCATCTGTGTGATACATCATGTCAGATATCAATGTAATGCATTTGTATCTTGACCAAATAAGCTGACCTCATGTGTTTCTGTCGGTTTTGTTCTTGCCTTAGCTTGGCTTTGGATCTTTCCTAGGGATTGTTGGCATCTACCTGGTAGAGAACAGACGACAAATAGTAAGTAACAGCCCTTTTCATTTTCATTTTTTTCATATCGGAATGTCTAAAAAAACCCACAAAAGGCAGGGATTTGTAGTGAAGTTAAAACTGCTGTATCTGACTTAAAATGTTAGTTATTTGTTTCACCGTTTCTGAGAAGTTTCAGAGATGCATGAGTTGCCCAGTGACTCCATCTGTACAAGGCAAGGGATGGTTTGGCTGCTGACAGAAGCAGCTTGCTCTTTTTTACTGAAGTACTTTGCTGCTAGCTTAGTGAGTTGAATTAACCAGGCAGGATCAGCTGTGTGCCAGAGCTTGGCCAGGATCATGTAGCTGGGGAAAAAAGATGGGGAGAGAGACACAGTGCACGGGTCATGTCAATTTGGGCAGCAACAAGCCACACGATCATCTCAACAGAAACAGGTGACAATTTTAAGCCAGGAATGCTTTCCTGAAACTGTATGTGTTAGAAAGAATTAAGAAACTTGAGAGCTCTGGCTATCCAGATTCCCTGGCTAGGTCGGACGGGATCTGATAACGCTTTGTAATTTGTTTTTAGATTTAGCTTGGCTTTGCAAACCCCTTGTTTTTATTTATGTGAGGAAATCATAGTCTTGTGATTTCCTGTATTCTTCTTAATGAATGCAGTCTTGTTCTCACTATTTGTAGGCAGATTTCTTTCATAATATCACTTTTTTTTGCATTGCCTTTTAAGTTTCGGTGATGTATTAGCAAGTATTCCCCTCTTCTAAGTTTTGTTTCTAGCTGGGTTTCCCAAAGGAATGATACTTAAAAAGCCATGATATTTGTCTGTGTCTTTCTCTGTTCCTTCTTCCATTTTTTGAATGTGTTGACCAATTTCAGGTAAATTCAGCAGGGAGGCAAAGTCTTCAAAGGTGTGCAATTCCTTCAAGTTTCATGAAAATTCATAGGTGGGTAGAGGAGAGAATTATGAATTAGTTGCCATATGGTGGTAAAGGCTGCAATGTCAGCTCACCTCTTATTAAACACTAGAGAATCCAAATGGGACATGACCTGTGAGACAAAAATCTGCATCAGGCCAGGCCTTGTTAATTTTGCTACTGACAGAACAGCTTATTTCTTGTTAAGAACTATTGCCCCTGATTTTTACATCAGAGACCAGAATGAACAGCAGGTTCCAAGTTGCAGACCCAGTGGTGGGCAGATGAAAATAGCCTTGTTTTCCGCAGCATTCATGCTACTTTACTAACAGGCGTAATGCTTTAGGGTTGTTTAATCTTTCAGTTTTCCTCTACTCAGCTTCTTAGTTTTCTGTCACTTCTGTCCTTAGCAGAAAGCAAAATGACTGAAAAATATGTAAGATGGGTAAGCAATGGTTAAGCTATATAATACTCAATATTTTGTGTCATTTACACAAGGACTGTGGAGAAATAAGCACCCAGTATGTTTGGTATTAGTGCTTGTTTGCATTTCCAGCATGACACAAGGAAAACTGCTTTCTACTAATAATACTTAGTGATGATCTGACTGTTGAAAGATTGAGTTTCTGGGGAACAGACCAAGAAAATAGCTAGAAAGTGTAATTATGTGTCTTGCCTTGACTACCATCCACAGTGGGCTAAGCCTTTTAACACTGTCTTTGCGAAGGCTGAGCTGCTTGTTTTCAAAAGTTACGGAAATGAGATTGAAAGGGTTTATGTCATACGCAACTGAGGGCAGTAATTATTCCCTGGGGTGTAACTGAGTATGTTTGCTTGAAAGGGTTTAGGGCAGCTTTACAAATTTGCAGCCATCAGTAAGACTGTAAAGATTTATGTAGGCACAGAAATGTAACAGAAATGTTACAGTCCTGTAACTAAAAATTCTATGCATTACAGCAGAACAAACAAGAGTGTGAAGGAAAGGAAATTGTTTACTCAGTTGCTTCTATTTTAATGTGACTTTCTTTGAACAGTTACTGCAATATAATTTGACTTTAACAGTGTAGCTCTGACAATTATCTGGCTCTTTTTTTTTTTTTAATTTTTCTTTTTAATTGAAAATGAATGTAGATTCAATAACACTGGGAAAAAAAATCTATTTTAAACTGATCTTTTCTTCCATAAATCTATTTATCTTTTTGTCTTGAAGGTCTATTTCCTTGTGACCTATCCTCTCTAAGTTCAGATATATTCATGGTTGATGAAATGCAAAGTGCAATATCAAACATGTAATGACTAGCAGAACTAGTACAGCAAAACCCCAGCACTCAATAAATGCAGGCACATGGTTTGAGAAAGAACGAAAGCACAGATAGGCAGAATGGACAATGTTTTGTTCTTAAAACACAACATTAATAATATTGTACCTCTTTGACCTCGTTCTTGGCATTCTAGGGCCCACAGTGGGAGTTCAATGTGCTGACCAAGGTATAACCCTTAATTCAAAGAAACTGCTGCTTGCAGAAGCAGGCTCTGCCTCATTGATTAGCATGATTTCCCTTCAGCTCTTAGCATTCATGCTTGGCTCTGCTATGCAAAACTTGGCACCAGAAGAACAAAATTTCCCCTTGATCAAAGATTTGCACTGATTTGGGATGTTTTTAACTGGCAAACAGCAGGACTTGAAAAATAATGTGTTGCTGTCCCTTTTTGCCTCTCTGTTTCCTGCAAAGCTGGTCATGGATCGAAGAACACAGTGTGTAAGTTGTTTTGTTCCAAAGGCACACTTAGTCCAGCTGGATGGGTGGAAAATGTGATACTGCTCAAATCAAATAGATTTGATTTTAAAACTTGAAGTGTCCTTGCTTGTTTCCTTGCTTGCCATCTCTTTACATTACAGTAAAAAGTATTTCCAATTAGAAAATGATGAGTATAAAGGGGACAGAGAGGAGAGGGAGGGGTCAGAGAAGCAGAAATGACCCCTCAGGAGGTATGAGTTAGCTCAAACCTCAGTACTACTTAGGATGAAGATAGCTGTCTGCAAAAGGTCTGAGACTTGAATTCATCCGTTGCTGAGTCCTGGTTTTTCTTCATGCTAACACACAGCTTATTTTTTATGCTGATGTGTCTAGGACATACTCAAATAAAAATCTGATGCTTAACTGGCTCAAACTGGTCCTTGACTTGTTTAGAGAGATGACTGTAGTGGTTTTAGCAGAGGAGACACTGCTTCTGACAAAAGCAGAATTTGAAGACGTGAGCAAAGTTAAAACATGGAGCTCTGCACACAGACAGAATAGGCAAAGCTATTTCTTCAGAATTCTCAAGAGATGCCAAGTCTACCTGCCTAAGTATGCTTGCTTCCTGATCTCTGTCAACAATAATTGGATTTCAAATTAAGTGCTGAAAACAAACTATAGCAGAATTTGGAGAAACAAAGCAGTAATTTTCTCTTCTGTTTTTAGTTGGTAGACTTCCCTGACAGTGCATGTGTTCCTACCCTGTGCTGAGATGCATGTGAGGTAGTATTTCAGTATTATCTCTGATTGTTTTCTTGCCACTAAACTTTCATCTGTTTCTGAAGGAAAGCTTTTTTTTAAAGGAGTTACATGTGTGAGCCAGTTTTCAGAAAAGCCAAACCTCTTTTTCTTTTCAAAATTGGAAATCTTGTAAATAGATTATGTCCATCATAAAATGCCCAATGGACATACTGTGTAAAGATAGTTGTTATTAATATGTACACCAAAAAAAGATACTGATACCTGTTCAAACATATTATGCTTCATCTACTTCTCCAGGCAAATCAAACATCTGGAAGAAACTGGGTTTAGTGCAGATTTTGATCAGAGATGCTAATTGCTGATAGATTCCATATTGCATATTAAGCTAATTAAAGCAGCTTGTTCACACAGAGAGAAAAAACATCGAAATTCTGTAGATCTCCTGAGACTATCTTTGATATTCTTGCACAAATAAATGATAGAAGTCTTCACTGTAGTGCAGGGGAAATGCAGATAAAGTAAAGGCAGTCTTTGTCATTACCAAGGTATTATTTCTCCCCTGAATTCAAGTTTCTGAGAAAGTCAACAGCACTTCTTTTTTTTTCAATTTATCTTTTGTGTGCTTGTATTTCACATAGTTCAGGGGAAAAACAGTTAACACTGATGTAAAAATGATAACAATGGAACAAATGAGCAATCATCCTCATCTTAACACATTTGACATTATTCAAAAGTGAAAAGACCTGCTACTTTATTTTCAGTCACAAATGTGAGCTAGATTTTGTGGTATGATCTAACCACACATTTCAGAAACAGACAAGGAGATTTATGTAAAGATGATCAGTAGGTTGACATTGGCATATGCTTAACTGAGGTTAAGATTGGCTCTTGTTTAGGTATTTGCATTCCTTTCAAAATACAACAGAATCTTATTAGCTAGTGTGATCAAGCAGCTTATTCTTTGAGAGCATCTTCTTGCTCTCTTGTGCCTATCTGTTAGACCTTTGTAATGAGATGCCCTTTGGAGGCATCTTGTTCTCTTCTTAGGTTCTGGAGGGAACCTCGAAGGGTGATTTTGACTACACTCGGGAGTTACAGATAGGTGAAGTGTAGCAAGGAGAATCCTGTGTAAAGTGATTATTATATTGCTCTTCTTTAATACTGAGGAGATTACAAAAGACATCATGCTATAACTCTGCCTGGCTGTGAGTTTAGAGCACAACCTCTTTTTGTGCTGTAAACCTGGTGCAGTCTTGGGAATTAGCTGCCTTATTTGGCAGGAATCAGCTTCGTGACCCCTTTTTAATCCTTTTTGGGAAGGATTTTAAATGTGGTCTACCCATGGTATGTCTGGGAATTATGTGTTACTCCTTGTAATGCAGGAGAACATTCAGCAAAAGTCATGGGTAGAAGTGAGATGAATAACTGGAGATGTTTCAAAGGCTCAGTTATTTCAGCTGAGAAGGACAGGTGTATGTCTGTGGGTATGAAAGCACCATCCCAAGCGAAGGCAAGTGGAATTAAAAGAAGAAAGTTTTATGAACAATAAAAATGTAAACGGTTGAAAAGTTGATTGTTTTATTTATTTAGTTATTTAGTTATTTATTTATTTTAC